GAAATTGGACTGCATATTTTGAAGACGGCTATCACTACTCGTTTAATGATTGTATAAGATGTGATGTACTGCTTGGTCCATTTGTGGCAAAAACCAAAGAACTCCAGGATCTTGGAATCGATGAAAAGTAAGTATAACTACGATGCAGTATAAAGATTTAAGTTTTATTGGGAGAAGAGGAGAAACGGAAAGGAGAACAGTTTTGGGTCAGAAAGGGTGCTTCCTGAGTTGTTTGGTTGTTTTTTAATTACTGTGAATATATGAAAATCATATATGTGAACTACAGATAAAGACGTGAAAATGAAAGTGGTCTTCGCAGTAGTGAACACTACTTGAGTGGTAGTGAAAACAAAACCTGAGAAAAATTCAGGATTGTACGGGATTTGAACCTACTCTTCCAACTGAACTAACAAATCGTTTTCATTCGCAGTTCACATGTATGATTTTCATATCTTCACAGTCATTTACTCATCACTTCATGGGTTTATTTGGAACCAACATAATGACCAGTTCCCAGTTGGCTTGTTAGCTCAGTTGGTAGAGCACTGCACCGGTATCGCAGAGATGATGGGTTCAAATCCTGTACAGGCCTCACTTTTTTCATGCCTTACTTTCACTACTGCTCAAGTAGTGTTCATTACTGCGAAGATCACTTTCATATTCACTGGTTGTTTTTGTTCACAGGGATGGAAGGTGGTCAAAATTTTTTGGGTAGCTTCATTTTAAGATGGTGTACCACCTTAGAGTAGAATTCTAAGGAGTCTTCTTAAAAATGCTTACAGAAAGTTTTCATGGTGTATTTGACTTCTACCTCCACCCTCTGCTATTTTGTGGACCGTTAATGAAAACTGTCAATCTGGTTTGATAAGCTCAATAATTCGACTACTATTTCTTGTTTTCCAGATTACATTTCGGTGCCTTTCAAGACATATTCTGGCGATTAAAACTCAAACATCCAGAGAAAGTTGTTGCCAGCTGTCCGGATGTCATGTTCGATATATATGAGCGAGAAGTTCCAGATGAAAAATATGATGCCTTGGCCCAGAAATGGGATGTGAAGAAATGGGTGGAGTCTAATGGGCAAGTGCGTTGGTATGGGTGCCGAAGAGGAGGGCATGCCCGTGATAATAAATCGTCCTGTGGTATACCAGCCACAGGGCTCGCTGTTCCTCCTTGTGACTTGGAGAATCTTGCTGACATAGTCAAGTTTATCATGAAGGAATGTGAAAATGCTGGGATTTACTGTCAACTTAATGCAGGAACTCTATTAGGTAATGTACTCTTGTGCCTATTTTGTAATAGGGAGGTGCAGTTCAAATTGAGTCTGTTTCCCCCCTTTTGGGATTCAAACAGGTTTGTCTTCAGAATGGAACAGACAAAAAAATTCAGAAGAAGATAATTTTGACCTTGGTCACTCCCACATATTCGATAATTTTGTGTACCGGTATAGTGTAGAAATACCTTTTTGTTGCAAAGAAAGGAAATTTCTTTGAGTGTGAGTAGCTGTTGTTTTAAGGCTGTTGTGTAATATCAATTATCAAGCTAAATAAAAATAAATTGATGTGAAACAAACATCATGCAATGAAATGAAGGAGGTCAAGGAGACATCATTGTTATGCTCATGACCACCACCATCATGGTGGTTGAACAAAATTGACATCATTTTCCATGGCATCATCTCCTATTACTTAAATTTCGTTTGTTTCTGTTTTAGGAGCTGTTAAATTCAAAAAGGTTTTGCCATGGGAGCGCGATGCTGACATCTATTTTCTTTCGGAGAACTACACAGCAATTCAAAAGCTTCGTCCAAGATTCGAAGCAGCAGGCTATAAATTTGATGATAGAAAAGGAACTGAATGCTGCACAGATGGACGAAAGACATCCGGCATTTTTGTAATCTATGGAAATGGCTGGGGTGTTGACTTTTACGGTAGACCTAGACTTGAGTCCGAGATGCTTGTAGCTGATGGTCAGCAGCCAACTAAAGTGATGTTTGCTGGTCAGTGGGTTACTGCCACGCGCAATCCAGGACTTTCCTCTCGTAATCGATATGGACCCAACATGTATCATCATGTAGAGCATTGGGCAGTTGTAGGAAACGCAAATGGGGATGCGCTGTACAAATCGGGTGTCTGGATCAAATGTTCCAGGCCTGGACACACGGGGTGTCTAGACCAGTTCCGCACTGATGGCGATCTTCAATTTGGTGACTACTTCATGACTTAATTTTTTTCACAGCAAGGACATGGAATGAGCAAACAGCGGCAAATTTTATGAAATGTATCAAGGTAGCTGTTTATGGAAATGATCTTTAAAAAGCTAAGAAGTAGGGTGTCGTTTGCACAAATTGTTTAGGAATATTACAAGGGTTAGATAAGGGGCCCAACATGATTTGTAGTAAATAAAGGTTGAGTAAGATAGAAGATAGACAAACAAGGACATGGAGGAGGGCTTGTTGCCTCCACATTCTCTTTGCTGAGTATTCAATTAACATGTCAGTGAACTTGTGGAATTTTTAGTTGTTGTGTTCTTAAAATATAAAATTAGCATGAAAGGTGTTTATCTCCTTATATACATTTATACCTGTTACTTTATTTTGGGATTGATGTACCTTTTTACTATGTGCAGCTAACAAATAATCATCGACATCAATGAGAAATCAATGAGTGTGTGATAACTCATTGATGTCTTTATGCAGTGTTTACTGATTAATTACGAGTGACCAAGACAGAATTTCTTCTTTTGATATCAACATAATATCAAGCAGACAAGTGATGCGAATAACAAAAAGTACCAATTAACAACATGAGACAAACAAAATCTATGAAATAAAGCTCTGAAAACTGCATATCTAAATTATATCCCGGTTTAGAAATATCACAAATGTGTTGATTAACATTTCATTTAACTTTACTGAAATATTCAGCCTGAGATGTAATTTAGATATTCAATCTTCAGATCTTTATTCATAACCCACATAGATTTTGTTATGTCAACGATTACTAACTAAGAACACATAGTGTGGTCTGCCCATGGTGTCAGTATCTGAGCAGCTGCATACCTACCCCTCCCCAACCCGGCTTAACTCTGACTTGTTATCAGTTTACTGATGTTGGGTTAAGGGAGGGGAAGGTGCGCAGTTGATCAGATGCCGGTATTGATCCACTTAATCTTGGGCAAACAACGAGTTTGTTTCACCAACAATGGAGCCCAAATTACACAACTTTCATGATGGCGGACGACGCGCGGGACTGGTAATTACTCAAACATGACATCGAGGTCAGAAGATAACAACTGTTATCAATAAAGGGCAAAATTACTGAGCGCTGATTGGTTGAGAGAGAGGGCATTTTTTCTTAATCGAGGGCATTTTTAGTAATCAAGAGAGGGCATGATTACCTGTTAATGATTGGCTAATCCGTTGCATAGCAACCGTTCGTTATCTTGAAATTTGTTAAAAAATAGACTGCGCGCGTGATTTTCCTTCGTATAAATTTTGCCCTTTATTGATAAACAAGTAATCCCATGAGACCTCGTACTATTAAGGATTAATTGCACTTGAGTTTTCAAAATTTTCCAAATTGCCCTCGTCGCTTCGCGACTCGGGCAATTTTGGAAAATTTTGAAAACTCTCGTGCAATTAATCCTTAATAGTACTTGGCCTCATGTGATTACATATACAAAGCAAAAGGTCAACAAAGGTTGAATAGGTTATCTGTTTTGACTCGATTCGGTCGAATTATTTCCAATAAGAGGAAATGCCGACTCCTTGTTGTGTTCCAGAAAGTAGGAAGAAAAGATAACGGAAAGACGATGGGATAAAAGTGTCTTATTTTAAATTTCCGACCAAGAATCCGGTGGAAAAAAAAATGGCTACACGCAAGAAGAGGAGACGAGGGAATGCTCTTCAAGGTAACTGAAGATAAAAAGATGTGCTCCCGGTATTTTAGGGAAGGTGATATTAAAAAAATCTCTCGCCGGCAAGAATGAATTAAGAGATGGAGTTGTTCCTTCTGTGTTTTCGTAGAACCTAAGTCAGTGCGTTTTCATGACTCAGCGGTCTCTCAGATAACGCTTACGTTTGTTGGGTAGGAGTGCTATCTCGCCGAGCTGTTTCTTGCCTTTACCGCTATTTCTCTTTGCTGTAGTTTCTGTTTCTCTCTGCTTTTGCTTTCTCCTTTCTTCAGCAAACGTTTGCTTCTGGGTATCCATTTTTCGTGCTTTCTCTTTCTGCAGAGTAAGCTGCTTCTGGGCCTCCTCCTTTCCTTTGGGCTTATTTTTGGGCGCAACTCCCATCTGAAGTAGCTATTTTGTGACAGGCACAGGACCAGGACCTTGAAAAGCGTTCAGTTGCACGAATTCCATTGATTGAGACTTCAATTAGTCAAACTCTTTCATCGGTTATACTTTTACCATTCTCTGAAATCCCCTTTCGACCTCTCATGTCTGAGAACACGAGCTGTCTCTATGACATTCACAACAGGGGAGAATTTCTTTTCACACGTGGTATCCTTCAGGTCATCAACTTTTCTCCAAAAGGGGTCTACTCGGATTGGATTTTGTGACTCTTCACCTTCCAAGTGCCAATCCTCTTGGATAGTTTCCAGTTAATGCAATCCCCAATCGTCACCCAGTTGGTCAAGATCCACCCCAACATTCACTTTGCCGGCCAAAACGCAATTCATTCCAGAATAAAAAAACGTTGGATACAATATGATTTTTGATAATACATCCAATAGGTTGAAACTTATTGTATTAGCTTAGCGTGCTTTCTCCTTTTCACGTGACGCGTGATTGGTTAAAAGATTCTGGATGAGTGATTTTAATAGGAAAATTTAGCGTGATATGTAAATGTATTTTGCCACCCTCATCTTTCATCCTCGAATGGCAGAATAATCTGAACGGGCGCATTTGCTTGAACATTGCGAACTTGTAATTGGTTTCGCGACTCGATAAATCTAGTCATGGGGGAATTAATTCGCTTCTCTGGGTACTTCAATCTCAAGAGGATCCCTCTAAAGTTCTCATGCTTCAGCAAATAGATGTGGTGAGAATGAAAGACAGTTTTTGCACGGTTTTTTGTATGGCCTTTCCGCTCTAGCGGACAAAACTAGATTTGTCCCAAAGGACAAACTTTGTCAAATTAGACAATTGGGGCAAATTTGTCGGCGCTGTGTTCGAAGATTTGTTCGCTTCGGCCAAAATTTGTTAAGTCATGACAAACCTGCATTTTTTAAATGTTCATGATGAAAAAAATTTGTCTTGTAAACAACTTTTTCGCCCGAGCGGAAAGGCCCATAGTCATCGGTAATAACATACATATATTTTTCTCTATCTTTCTTTCGTTATTCGCTGCAATTACTGAAATGACCAGCAGCCGAGCACGGTCTCAAATAGACTAAATGCCCGGCAGTTAGTAATGTTTACAGAAGACTATCTTATAATAGTTTATCTTATTTATTGTATTGTAACCAGCAGCGTAAAAGCGACTTGTCTTTATTAAGAACCTACGAAGCTAACAACGAGCGAGCTGAAAACAACCCTTTGGGAAACACCCCGGGGTTCCCATGTGCTGACACGTACTTCGAGTGATAATAAGTTATTATATGACTCAATAAACGATTCAAGTCTTCTTTCGAAAACGTCATGGAGATACAATCGAAGTATGAGCAATATTGCGTGCTTAACCAAAGGTATTAGATATATTAGGAATTTTGATCTAAAACTAAGTTTACAAGCAGAGCTCCTTATGTTTTCTTTTCTTTGCACGTGCATGCGATCTATTGAGTTAAACGCTATTGGGCTTTGCACCTACTTAGATGGGTCACTTTGCTCTAAGTGGCTAAGACTGGGAGACACTGAACTAGGGAAATTGATTATGGACGGGTGCAATGTCGAGTCCACTGAACTTACTTTGTACTCATTTAAAAGCCATTTAGATATGCCCAACACGACTTAAAATTAATGTAGGAAATTATCATGGCACTGAAATCTGGTAATTTATCTGCAACATATGCCATGCATACACCATGCATTCCCTTCTCTTCCTGCCCTGTACTGTGAGATGTCCCAAAAATTGAGTGTTTTTTTTTTTTTTTTCACAGAATTTGAAGGTGTTCTAAGAGCCACGACAGATCCCACAAATTAAGTCTTGTGCATAGCCATTTCAACAACCAGCACCATGAGAAAACTGCAGCTCTTCTTTGTGACAGTTGTCATCTTAACCCTTGTATTAGTGAAATTTTTCTCATCATATCTTCACATTACAACTAGGAGTCGTTCACAAGTACTGGCAAGTGATTTAAGACGTCTAGCAGTAGACCTTTCTGAGACACAGCGCAGCTTGGTACATTTACCATTGCAGTTCTACAAAGTTGAACGAAATATTGAGCTGGTAAAGCAACTGATAAAATCTGTGGATGGACAGCCACTGCAAAAGGACACTGTTTCCAGCAATTCTTCTCCAGAAACTTATGTTAAAAAGAGAGAGGTTTGCCCTGAGAAATATATGGGAAAGGATTCTTCTTATGGATTCCCATTTTATAGGAAAGGTTTTGAAGGAGAAAATTGCACAGACTTTGTCCCAATTGATGAACTTGTGACTATGATTATGACATCACCAAAGGAACTATCACCTGAAAAGCTGAGAAAAGTGTTTGAAGGAGTTTCCACATATTATCCAAGTGTACCTGTAATATTTGTTTCAAACAAAACATTGAAGTTCAAGTGGCTGAAAGAAGTACGTTTAAGACTTACTTTCATGGCATTTGATGACCTTACACATGGAGAAACATGGTCCAAGTTACTCAAGATGGTGGCCACACCCTATGCACTCTTTGCACCAGATATCACTTACTTCACTGATGATGTTAATCTTGAACGCCTTGTACGGGTATTGAGTGAGAACAGGGATACCATCCTTGTAGGGGGAAGCCAAAAGAATCAACAGGGGGAGTGGGACAATAGCTGTCGTCAAGTGCAATTCAGAAATTGGACTGCATACTTTTCAGATGGGTATTACCACTCGTTTAATGACTGTGTACAATGTGATGTGCTGCTTGGTCCATTTATGGCAAGAACCAAAGAACTCCAGGATTTTGGAATTGATGAAAAGTAAGTAAAAATTACAATTCAGTATAAAAATTATAGTTTTATTGGGAGAAGAAAAGAAATATAAAGGAGTACAGTTTTAAGTGAGAAAGGGTGCTTCCTGAGTACTTGGGTTGTTTTAAACAATTGTGAATTTATGAAAATCATATACCAGCAATGAACACTACCCAAGTGGTAAAAAAATGAGCATGGAGGTCTGAAATGGTTATTGAGGCTGGGTATTAGTTTTGGGTAAGGAAATATCATTAGCTAAGTCTTGAAATGAGGAAGAATTCTAAAGAGTCTTTTTACCTCCACCATAAGCTAGTTTGAGGACTGTTAATGAAAACTGTCAATCTAGTTTGTTCGGCTCAATAATTCAACTACTATTTCATGCTTTCCAGACTACATTTTGGTTCCTTTCAAGACATATTCTGGCGATTAAAACTCAAACATCCAGAGAAAGTTGTTGCCAGCTGTCCTGATGTTATGTTCAATATATATGAGCAAGAAATTCCAGATGAAAAATATGATGCCCTGGCCCAGAAATGGGATGTGAAGAAATGGGTGGAGTCTAATGGGCAAGTGCGTTGGTATGGGTGCCGAAGAGGAGGGCATGCCCGTGATAATAAATCGTCCTGTGGTATACCAGCCACAGGACTCGCTGTTCCTCCTTGTGACTTGGAGAATCTTGCTGACATAGTCAAGTTTATCATGAAGGAATGTGAAAATGCTGGGATTTATTGTGAACTTAATGCAGGAACTCTATTAGGTAATGTGCTCTTGTGCCTATTTTGTATTGGGGAGGTGCAGTTCAAATTGAGTCTGTTACCACCCCTTTGGGATTCAAACAGGTTTGTCTTCACAATAGAACTAACAAATAGTTGGTGACAGATAGTTTTAACCTTCCTCATACCCATACATTCTATAATTTTATGTACCAGTATAGTGTAGAAATACCTTTTGGTTGGAAAGAAAGGAAATTTCTTTGAGTGTGAGTAGCTGTTGTTTTAAGGCTGTTTTGTAATATCAATTATCAAGCCAAATGAAAAGAAACTGATGTGAAACTAACATTATGCAATGAACTGAAGGAGACACCATTGCTATGGTCATGACCACCACCATCATGGTGGTTGAACAAAATTGGCATACTTTTCAGTGCATCATCTCATACTAGTTAACTTAAGTGTGCTTCTGTTTTAGGAGCTGTTAAATTCAAGGGGGTTTTGCCATGGGAACGTGATGCTGACATCCAATTTCCTTCAGAGAACTACACAGCATTTCAAAAGCTTCGTCCGAGATTTGAAGCAGCAGGCTATAAATTTGACGATAGAAAAGGAACTGAATGCTGCACAGATGGACGCAAGACATCTGGCATTTTTGTAATCTATAGAAATGGCTGGGGTGTTGACGTTTATGGTAAACCTAGGCTTGAGTCTGAGATGCTTGTAGCTAATGGTCAGCAGCCAACTAAAGTGATGTTTGCTGGTCAGTGGGCTACTGCCATGCGCAATCCAGGACTTTCTGCTCGAAATCGATATGGACCTAATATTTATAAGCATGTAGAGCATTGGTATGACATAGGAATGAAGAGTGGGGTTATGCGCTACAAATCAGGTGTCTTCACCAAATGTCCACAGCCGGGACACATGGGGTGTTTAGACCAGCTCCGTCCTGATGGCAATCTTCAGTTAGGTGACAGCTCTGTCACCTAAATTGCTTTACATGCCAACTTCAACATGTAACAAGCAAACAGAGGCAAAATGAAATGGTCTTTCACAGGCCAAGAAGAAAGATATCTTTTGCACAAACTATTTAGGAATACAGCAAGGGTTAGACAAGGGGCCCAACATGATTTGTAGTAAATAAAAGTTACACGAGATGGAAGATAGACAAACAAGGACATGGAGGAAGACTTGCTGCTTCCACGTTCTCTTTGCTGAGTATTTGATTAACATGTCAGCGAACTTATGGAATTTCAAGTTGTAGTGTTCTTAAAATATAAAATTAGCTTGAAAAGTGTTAATCAATGTTTATGTCCTCAACATTGTATACATTTATACCTTTGTTACTTTATTTTAGTATTGATGTACCGTTTTATTATAAGTAGCTAACAAATGATCATTGACATCAATGAGAAATTAATGTGTGTGTGATAACTCATTGATGTCTTTATGGAGTAATTACTGATTAATTACAAGAGCACAAAACAGAATTTCTCCTTTTGATATCAACAAAATATCAAGCAGAATAGGGACATAAAAAAAAAGTATCAATTAGGGGATTATTACGTGATCCATACCAAATTCTCCACACCAGGAGGTAGTAAGGAGAATCACTAATGAGATCTTGGGAGTGAATTTGGCTAAGGCCTCAATAGTGAGTAAACATTGAATATTTAACAAGTTTTAACAAACTCCCCTCTTGACTTAATATGACAGAAAAAGGTATGGTCTGCACAAAATTTATACCTATCTAGGCCTAATTAACAATTTGCACATCAGAGCAGGGTAATCATCTGACAAGGATTCAAAATACTTTACACCACAAGTAGATTATGATTTGCCAAACTGAAGTTGACTGACTCAAAAACTCTCCAGGGCTACATGTAGTTTTAATAATAGTAGGCATAAAGAAATTTTTTTTCCCTCACAGCATACAGAAATGATATAGTTAGAATCAGTTAAACTTAAATTCAGAAGAATTATTGTGTTTATTTGTTATGAATTCTACAGTAGCTTTCAACCCTGTTGGCTCATTAATGACATCAATATCTTAACCTTTCTAGGAGCCCTTATGAGACACAGATTACCCATCCAGTACTAGCAACTGTCGTGAGGAATCAACCAAATACCATACTGGTTACCTAGATCAATTAGAATACCTGTTGACAAGTCTGAATTTGTAGTTTTCTTCCAACCAAAACTCAGGCTCTGGCACATGTTAATGACTCTGACAAGTTCAAGATGACGTAATGTGATTATATAATAAATTTCCTGTTGATTCTAATCTATAAGAAGTAAAATCAAAACACAAGTTTCCACCTCTCTACCTCCCCTTTCTTGCCTAAAGTATCACATCTGACTTTAAGGTTTTTTTAAAAAGGTTTCCTTCCCTTTCTTTTTTATCTACTGCAAGGATCCCAGGTTTCTTAATTTCTCTTTCATTGCTGTTCTGTTGTTAACTTCTCACAGTACCATAATCAAAATTAGTAAAAGATAGCTGATACATTTACAGTGGCCTCAAGGATTTAAGTTGCCAAGTTGTCCAGAAAAACCTATTTTTGCACAGACAAAATTCATTTTTGGCCGGACAAATTCTTTACATGTGTAAAGAAGCAGGCAAAATGTTTGGCTATCCAAAAGTTGATAATACAAACCCTATGTTTCCTGGCCGCTATTTAAGCACTAGGCTAATATGAAAACTACTAAACAGTCAAATGATGCATACTAGCATAGCTATTAATAACAACTTGTTACAGACATTTATCCAAAAGAACACATTTACATTGTATTCAGTCAGTAATGTCACTGCTTTTTCTTAAATACAATGGCACATACATTTGCACAATCTACAACTGACTTTCAAAGCTAGCATGCAAGTTAATGCATGAAGGTTCAGTAACTGACCATAAATTTGATGAACCATCATGCATGTTTCTTCTTGTTTCTTTTTGCCATTAATCATCAGATGGACCCACATAATCGTCGGCTGGACCATGGGCATTGCTTCGGTCATAGCCGGTGTTTCCACCACCACCCCCTCCGCCTGATTCAGCAACTGGACGCCTATAGACACCTATCTCCTTATGACAATTGGGACATAGATGAGCAACATCCTTGGCACAATCAGTACAAAATGGAATGCAACAACAACTGAAAGCAGTAAAATTTATATCATTAGGGTGAAATTCCTCATGAGCACCCATTTGCCATTAACCTTTTACACTGTAACATCAGTATGCATATTCTCCATACTGTTCTCTATATATTTCCTGAGTGCTGAAAAGGAGAATTTGTTGAACAATCAGGAGCTACTTTGGTTGGAGTTCATTCCTTTATTGCCATTACCTTAAATGTTTAATTCAGGGGTGACAGTGTAAGGAGAAATAATATTTATGCCACTCTTATGAGTTTAAGGGTTTACTTAACCCTCTAACTCCCAAGATCTGATTGTTAATTCTCCCCTGTAGCTGCTACACATGTCCTTGTAAATAAGTTATGAGAATTTACTGCTAGATCAAGATAGCAACTTCTACCTGATAAGTTTGAATATTCTCATTACCTGTTTGCTGAAGAATGTATGGATATTGTAGGGAGAAGTTTTATGTTAATCACTTCTGGGAGTTAAAGGGTTAAGAGTGATTAGTAACTACTTTCTCCTATCAGTATTGCCCTAAAACAAACATTGAAGCCATGAGAATAATGGAAATGATCACCAACTAAAGAAGCTCTTGATTGTTTAACAAATTCTCTTTGTCAGTACCATGGGAAATAAATAGAAAACAGTAAGGAGAAAATATATACTGATGTTGGGGTGGATAGGATTAAAATGAACTGAATCTCTAAAAAATATGGATTTGCAATAGATTTGCCTTACTAGGCTATACTAAGCCATGCTATTGGTTGAGAAAACCTGCCCCTCACTCAACCAAACAGGTGTGATGTGAAATTTAAACCAATGGCAACTCTGTCACTTTCCTCCAACACAGGAGCAGGTTAATAGGTACCATAATAATTCAAAATCTTAGTTACTTTTAGTACCTCAAGAGAGGCACATATTCGAAGTAGGGAGCTTATCAGAGACAGAGCAGTTGTTTAATTTTTTTTGAGAAAAAGCAGGATGTGCAAAACAAAGCTTTGATTTTTATTTGAGGAAGATCATGCAGACTGGAAATGGACTTCTTTTCCCAGGATCCTTCCTGGCCAGAACAACCAGCCAAGCAATGTTTGCAAAATTTTAAGACAAGATCATTTATTTGAAGGAACTGTGCACTCATGTGGATGTGTATAATTAACATACATACATATATATATATATATATATATAAACTGACAGTTGAGAGACAGAGGCCACTGTTTTGTAACAAGGCATTAACAAAGCAATTAAAGGAATATGAAACACAGTTGACCTCATTGTACATGTACTCCAATAGTGCTATTACTAAACTGAATAGGGGCAGCTATTGGAATGAGGGTGACTAATTAATAGAGGTGCTACATGTAATAAGAGTAGGGACTCTTGTTGACCAAAATAAATTCTAGGGGATGCATATTAGAGAGGGGCACTTATTGAAATAAAGGGGCTAAATCTATTCATTAGGGTTATAAGTGGGATTCTCATTAGCTTTTCGGAAAAGCTAATGAGAATCCCACTTATAACCCTAATGAATAGATTTAGCCCAAACCAAACTAAAAGAGGGCTCTTTAAAATAAAGGAATCCATATTTTCCTTTATTTTAAAGAGTCCTCTTTTAGTTTGGTTTGATCCTTTGACCCAAAGAGTGACAGGCATCTAATTTCGCCTTACAATATCTGCCCAAATCACCGGTTAAGGTCATTAGAATAAAGAAAATGATCATTAACTAGAGACGCTCTTGATTGTAAAACAAATTCTCCTTTACAGAACATTAGGAAATATATAGAGGACAGTAAGGAGAATATGCATACTGATGTTAGGGTGTACAGAGTAAAGAGCATTCTGGCTTAAAGCACCCTATGTATAGAATACTAAAAATCCTTACCCAAAGCAAGACAAGATAAAACAGTACAAAAAGGTTGTGTTTCCAACACGGTGAACAAGCTGGGTAGAAATGGTAGCCCCACAGTGTGGACAGCCCATTGTTACAGGGAACTGTTTAAGAACGATGGGTTGAGGAAGCCCAACAGGCTGTTGGATCACTGTTAATGCTTGTGTCCCTGGTGCACCATATCCAGGCTAAAAGAGAGTCACATCGAGAAAGTTTGTTCATAGTTACAGGATAAGGTAGTATTATCAACTGAGTTAATAACATAAATTGGCCATCATAAAGAGTTTCAAAGCTGAGTGTTAACCCTTCATCAGAGTGATTGACGAAGGGCTAATATTCAAAATGTCAGCTTTAACACTCTTAACAGTGTCCAATTTACATTATCAACCCAGTTAATAATACAAAATTACCCTGTTATATTCTCCCACCAATGCAGCACCACAATAGAAACTTATCCCCTTTATTATCAGGGATGTAGCTAAAGTTTTTAACAGGTGGGAATCATGCAATGATAGGTGGGTATTTGGGCCGAAGGCCCACTCTAGCATGCCTTTGGCACGCTATACCTAGATTTGAAGGTATAAACAAATGAAATAAATAAATAACAGTCTTCTGACAACATTTAAAAACATTTTGGAGAAAGATGTAGTGCTTCACAGCCGGAAAAATCGCATTCACAGCCGGGTAATTTTCCTGGCTTCCGGCTATTACCTACATCCCTGATTATTAGTAGTTACATTGGCACTGAAACAACTAAGGCAGCCGGTTTTCTGACAGGAAGTGACAACAACCACTAACATATACGATCATAAATTTCGTTAAACAGGACCCCTTTGATTAAACACGCTCCTTGCGGTCAGCGTTCTCCCACGTTTTGGTCGAAACAGATGCATGTACTCAAGGAACACGCTACATCGTATGTCGTCGCTCCAAAAAAAAAAAAAAAAAATTGTCGTAAATTGTCTTCTTCTTGTGTGAATTTTGTGGACTGAAATAAAATTTCAGTATTCCCGATCACTTAACTAATAATTATACTGGGAAAGGCTTTTCTTAGCCCGATCTTTGGACGTACAGCTGAAGTTTAAAATGTCAAACACGCTCCTTGCGGTCAGCGTTCTCCCACGTTTTGGTCGAAACAGATGCATGTACTCAAGGAACACGCTACATCGTATGTCGTCGCTCAAAAAAAAAAAAAAAAAAATTGTCGTAAATTGTCTTCTTCTTGTGTGAATTTTGTGGACTGAAATAAAATTTCAGTATTCCCGATCACTTAACTAATAATTATACTGGGAAAGGCTTTTCTTAGCCCGATCTTTGGACGTACAGCTGAAGTTTAAAATGTCAATCGTTCGATTCGAATTCTCTTTTACGTTCAATTTTTGTAACAATAAACATACTCAATGCAGCCAGTCACAATGACTCAATGACTCTTACAAGAGGAAATAGTAATATAAGAAAACAACACAGTCTCCACTGATGGAGTAAAACTAAGCATATTTCAACATTTTTTCCCAACCTGATAGTAAGCGTGAGGAGCGTATTGAGCTTGGGGTGGTGGTTGGTAATAGCCAGGTTGTTGCGGAGGATAGTAGTTTGGGGGATACTGCCCTTGATTCATTCCATAATTCTGTCCTTGCGGAGCTGCCATAATTACTTGAGATCACAGTTCTGTTAACGCTGAAAACGAAAGTATAACATTACTACTGTAGTCCAAATTCCGCATTCGTCATGTAAACACACACTGCATAGCATAACGGGAAACCTTTGGAAACAGCTGAGCCAACAGTACATGCGTGGATGTCACGTGCGGTAGATCGCAAGGAAGTGACGATTGTACGCGTTAAGAACAAGTCTCTGTAAAAATCAAACATCTTGGGAAATGAACATTTTCAACCCCCCTTCAAATTTTGCATGTAGTTAGGCGCTCAGGGGGAATACACAAAAATGCCATTTTTAAAGGTCGCAGCACTCTTGTTGCCATGATAACAACGGCTGCTTGTTCGAGGCCTAGGGCCTCATTTTCATACAAAAACGTCGCAAAAAAAGAGTGAAATCAGAAAGAGAAATCTCGCCTCTGGTCGTCAACTATTAAAAAAAAATTGATCAACCTTCATAGAGGACTACTCAACGTAACTACAACCATATACCTCAAATCGTGTGCATATGCATATTCCGAGTGCTGCACCTTCTTTCATAGGAATTTGAGCGATCCGAAGTCCTCTGAAGATACACTGTTATACTTGCATGTCATTTAAACATGTTGGAGTCGGCTGATCTATACGAAACTATCCATAAACATGTACGTTGTGACGATGGCGTGACGCTGTTTTCCATCGGTCGCCCCAACGAAGACGAGAAATGTACATTTTTCGATATATCAGCAGATATCTGCGCATTCTAAGTAAAAACAACCAAAAAAAAAAAAAAAAAAAGAATAAAACCTCGATTGAACGCTTGTAAACACCGAGAATCTGAGAGCAGAAATCGCAACTTGTCAGCGGCAGTACTACATGTAAAACCCAGTCGCCGCAATAGCAATTTGTACAACTCGCGCGAAAATCATCACAAAGTGGAAATTTTGAACTACTCAGTATCCCAGCAGTACAGCAAATGGAACAGGGATTTCATCACAGTCAATTTCTAAAAAGTTAGCTTTTTCCAGGGGGTCTTTCATGTGCTCGAACGTTATATTGGCTTTGAGCCTTGAGATTTATTTCCCTTGACAATATGCTATAGAAAAATGCTATAGAAAGTGCTTACAAAATTACAAAGGAACTATTTTTGGTGTCGCTTGGACCGAGAAATGCAGATCTGAAATAATTAATGCTGTCACTGATGAACCAAAGGGCACAATCTTCTCAGTTATTAGCTTGATAATGTCCACAGACTAATGTTATTGGACCGAACGATCTCCTGTTTCTTCCTGGTGAGCCGGCCACCTCAGGGGAAAATTAAAGAGACCTTTGACTTCCTCTCGTGTAAATCACTGGAAGATTGCGTTACACTCAGCTTTCTTTAAGTTTGTAAAAGATATCCGAGAGAAAAATATGGAAAATAATGGTGATGAAATCGCTGTTCTTCATCCTGAAGGACATGAAGCAATCCAGATTACATATTAACCATGGGAAGTTTCGATTTCAAGTGTTTGACAAACAAGGAAATCATTGGTAAGGAAATAGCCCGCGAGCTTTTAGGCTCTGAGCATGATGGGAGAAGGATTATAGGTCTTGTAGATTGTACCTCTGAAGAGCAGTTTGATAAGGAGCTGAAGATTACTAAGCGCCAATGACCAGAGGCATTTACCAAATGGCTTCACTCAAGTGAAGGTCGTCTTTGACCTTTATTTGCGAGTATGAAGAAATGCATGTTACGACCTGTTCGCGTTGCTGCTGGCCTTGGAAACCCGCCAAGACAAATGGCAAAACCAGAGAACCGAGGCATACAACACTGTTATAAAAGAGGAGATTTTCAGACAAAAAACTGATCAGGTGAGAATACACGATCTCATTTAGAAACGCGTAGTGCAGTCTTATTTAGACGAGCTGGTCAAAGCCATCTATCCAGATGGGAGAATATCGTCTGTCCGCAGACTATAATCACCTTGAGGTGGATCCATTGCAGTGGACACAAATGACATCTCATCAACGCGACGCAAAAATAAAAAAGGTCTTTGGCTGTATCCTTCCCAGCAGAAAGAGGGATGAGGCCATTACTAGAAAATTGTCCATAGGCCTTGTCGAGCGCCAGCTCTCATTACAATTTACTTCATGTGAGCTAAAAGATATATGGAGGAGGGCGGAAATCATACTGTCGCATTATAAGATCATAGAACTTGAAAATACAAACTTCTGCGTCACCGAATTTGATACCAGTTACGCAATAGAAACAAAGAACGAGAAGATATCGTGCGACAAGACCTGCAAATCTTTTCGTGATAGTGGTGGTTTGTACCCTCACGTCCTTGTTGTCGCAGGGAAGACTGGTAAGCTGCGAAGTTTCATCGCCACTTACAAGAAAGCTTGTAACAAAATGGGAAAGATCATCAGCGCACACCTCTCTAAACAGCTTGAGGAAAAGCCGAATCAACGAGCAAAACAAAGAAGAGGGAAAAATAACGTAAGCCACGTGCCAGTCGTGTCAGAAGAAGACCCCTATGACGTTATGATGCCAAAGCCCACGAGATACATCGAGTATTACCAGAATGACGAGCCCTTTTATGTAGTGTTTACTCATGACTACTCGAATGCAATAACATGCACCGGTTGCACAAATGAGTTCCCCAAGAGAGTACAGATAGCGCCCTACGACATTGTTCTACTTCACGAGGAGCGTTATCGCTACTTAAAAAAGACGATAACGGCAATGTTGAAATGGTCGTAACGCATAAAAAACAGGCAAAGAGGTTTTCTTGCGTCAACTAAATACATATTGTGTGACAAGAGAATAACAGTGTATCTTCAGAGGACCTCGGATCGCTCAAATTCCTATGAAAGAAGGTGCAGCACTCGGAATCTGGATGATATGCACACGATTTGAGGTATATGGTTGTAGTTACGTCGAGTAGTCCTTCATGAAGGTTGATCAATTTTTTTTAAAAGTTCACGACCAGAGGCGAGATTTCTCTTCGGGATATTGCTCACAAGATAACATTCTTTCAAAGCCTTGCACGTTTCATTTGTCTGAAACGTTTGTTGTTGAGAACATTAGACGTAAACATCGCCAAATTATGCAATATCTGATTTTTGAGCTTCGTTCGCGAATTGCCCCTATGGAAAGTAGAGGCAGGCCCGCAGAGATTTTTACATATTTAAAAACTAGAATATTATAACCAGCTAGGTGGGTAGTTTCAGTTCCATAATCGATGTACTTTTGGAGAAATTCAGATAAACGTTTTCCATGTTTTACCCGACAACAAAAATGACCGAAACTGCACCGAGATAAATAATCTATTGGTGTTTTCACATTCACTGCCAAGAAAAATTAAATATCTGAAAGTGAAGACGAATGATATCACTATGTATGGTAGAAGTGCCAATTTGCAATGTTTTATTTAGCTTGAGATAGAGAAATAAACATTTCACTCTTTTTTGCGACGTTTTTGTATGAAAATGAGGCCCTAGGTCTCGAACAAGCAGCCGTTGTTACCATGGCAACGACCTTTAAAAAGGGCATTTTTGTGCATCCCCCCGAGTGCCTAACTGCATGCAAAATTTGAAGGGGGGTTGAAAATGTTCATTTCCCAAGATGTTTGATTCTTACAGAGACTTGTTAAAACTTCCCGTCATCTCCAGATCGCGTTCACCATACTACGTGAAATCATCTTACTTTGCTTGTTCTGGAGGTTACAAACCAGGACTGTTTCAGTTTGACTCTCAAGGCTGTCCTAACAAGTTCAGGGCCAACATCCAAGCTAAAACTTGGTTAATGGTAGTGGAAAAGAGTCTGACTAAGCTTGAAACCCTTAGAGACGGTTTTGACATTTTTACATTTCACACTTTGGTTTCTCTTGTTTTGACTAAAAACGAGATGACTCAAACTCTGTCTAATATCAAACCTGAATGGATTCGTCTACGTTAGTAGAGAAATCAACCCTCCCTCGTAGCAGGTTGCGGACTATTTTCTTAGTGTTTAGGAGACAAATCATCCATCCATCGTGGCAAGTTTCGGAATATTTTTTGTGTCTTGCAAATTGACATTAGCTACAACGGGTCGACTTCAACCTAAACAATGTCGTTCGATTCGGGTCGAATCGAGTGGATTCGACAACAATTTCAACCTTCCCTCTCAGCCACTTGCGGAATATTTTGTTAAGTGTCTTGCAGATCGACATTCGATATGTTGACCTCAACTGAGACGAGTAGTCCGATCCGAGTCCAATTCAAGCGGCTCAAACGACAGGAGAAGAATCAAAACAGTGACATATTGCTTTTGATATAAGCTATAGTGGTCTTCCATTACGACGATTTGAGGAACGTCTGCGCAAGAGAGTAGTGGAGGAGAAGGCGAAAAATTAAAAAATAATTTAAGTACTTCAAATCAAACAACAAAAGATGGTTTAACACTACAAGAAAAACTGATAAAATATCTTATTAAAAAGATTATTTCTCAGTACCGATTTTTAAAGTAACGGGGCAATTCCATCGCTCACTAACTTCAAGAAAAATAAACTCAATGGTGATTTATTTCAAAACAGTGTTCACACCGATCTGGTTACAACTGAAACGAATGCAATTTGCGAATGTCAATAGTTGTCTCCCTTATATAAATAAATTAAATACTTAATTAAATAATTAAATATCACAGGTACCTTAGTGTTACCTTAATTTTAGATCATTTATATTAAATAGGATTCAAAAAACGAAACTGTTTGTGTAACCTTAACTGGGGACAATTTATGAAATATGATGAGCTTAATCGGATCAGTGTCAGCACAAGAAGACCACACTAGGTGTTCGTGGATAATAATTGTTGACATGAGAAACTAAATCTGAGGGTTATGAATAAAGCTCTGAAAATTGCATATCTTAAGAACCTAAGAAAAAGGGTCTCTCTTTCCTCTCTTAACGGCTTTCGGCCGAAATTAATTTTGTAAATCGACACTTCAAACAGACGCTTTAAAGGCTTAAAAAACTCAGAGAGTTTAAAAAAAGGCTTAAAAACCACGACGCTTCAAACGACGCTTTAAAGGCTTAAAAAATATCACAAATGCGTCGATTAATATTTCATTTAACTTTACTGAGATATTCAGACTGAGATTTAATTTAGATATTCAATTTTCAAATCTTTATTCACAACCCACATAGATTTTGTTCGTCTCATGTCAACAATTATTAACCAAGAACACATAGTGTGATCTGCCTATGGTGTCAGTATCTGAGCACACCTACCCCTCCCTTAACCCAACTTAACCTTGCCTTGTTATCAGTTGACTGTTGTTGAGTAAGGGGAGGGGAGAGTACGCAGTTGCTAAGATACTGGTCTTGATCCATTTAATCTTGAGCAAACAACGAGTTTGTCTCACCAACAATGGAACTCAAGTTCTCTGGCCCCATCGCGCTACTTAGCAATACTGAACCTAAGTCAGTTGCATTTTCATGACTCAGCGGTCTTTCGGATAACGCATGCGTATCCTGGGTCGGGAGCGGAGGAAGTGTATCGAGTGTCAGAGGTTCTTCGACACTGAACATGGTTGGAACGAACGACGCTGAGAGTAAACTTGTTTGAGCTCGGTCCGTCAAGTGCTGTGTTGAAAAATCTCTGTCTTGCTGCTGAAAATCCTGATGGGTTTCATGTTGACTAGGATAATAATCATTATCAAGTAACTTGGAAGCAGGCCGGACGAATGACGGTGGAGAATAGCAACCGTCCAAAAGGGACGTCTCACTCGCATCCATGGGCGACAAAATGAAGTCGGTTGAAACCTCGCATGAATCAGTGGCTGTATCATTAATTGCGTGACAAGTGGTGTCCTGTGAAGTTATTCCGGTAACATCTAATTTCTCATTCTTCTTTGCGGAAGGCTTTTTGGTTCGTCTATTTTTCTTTTTCGTTTTTTTCCCTTTCGCCTGTGAATTTTGCAGCTTTTTCTGTTGTTTCTCGTGCTCTCTACAAGGAAGGTGCTTTCTGAGGCACACTCTTTGGTTGAATGTCTTTTGGCAGGTGTCACATTTAAAAGGCTTCTTGTCAGAATGAATGACTTTATGTTGCTTAAAGTGATCTGGACGCTTAAAACCTTTTCCACAGACCTAAAATGAGAATGTGCATTAATAAAAGCAGAGAATAAAACAGTTGTTATTGGTTTTGGTGTTCTTTAAGTATTGGTGAATTCATGTCATCTTCAAAATGACAACAACAAAAAAAAGGAAAAAAAATGGAGAGCTACACAACTTTCAAAACTAACAACAGCAAATACTCCTCAACGTCTCTAATTAAGTTTTTCTAAGTTGGCTAAATCTTTGTCTTGTCTTACAAAACTGCCATTCCGCACAGTCAACTAAGATACTTGAACACAAATTCTCCAGAAAGAAACCCGAATGTAGATGAAGACAGACGGAATGAAAAATGGTTATGAATGATTGAAGAAAAAAATGAAAAGAAAAAAATTACAAGTACCCACGTGAATCACTAAGTAGCTAACCGTTTTGTAACTGGTTTTGGTTCTTCGACATTAAATTGAACTGCTCCGTTAGCTCAGCAATGTTACCAGTATTTTTAAGCAGCATTTCTTGACTTCTTCCACAAAAATATTAACAAAAGAATAAAGGATAAAAATCAACTTATAAAAAGCAAACAACAGCCTAAGTCATTACCTCGCAGACGAATGGCTTTTCGTTTGAGTGTGAAAGAGAATGCATCTTGAGTCCATATGACTTGGCAAACAGCTTGCCGCACGCTTGGCACTTGTAAGGGAGAATGCCAGTGTGTTTAGTAGTGTGGGTCGTTAGACTTGAAGAATTAAAGAACGTTGCGTCGCAGTATTTACACTTGTATGGTTTTTCGCCAGTGTGTCGCCGTCTGTGTTCCTTCAGGGTACCTAAAATAGACCCACAGAGAAAAAAGTGATTACACACCATGTAACCATCCAAAACTTTTTGAGAGTTTTGTACGCCCAAAGAGGGCCTAAAGTCTACACGTCTGTTACTGTAATTCTGACTGAGATTATTAACCCTTTAAATCCCAGAGGTGATTAATGTAAGTATTCTCTACAATATCCATTCAGTGTCACCATAGTGAGAATATCAGGTAGAAGTTGTTGTCTTGTTCCAACACCAAATTCTCGTAACTAATTTTAAGGGAAATTATGTAACTGCCATAGGGGAGAATTAATCATCAGATCTTTGGAGTTTAAAGGTTTAAGATAGCGGCAACAAATGCGTACTTACGCTGGTGAGAAAAACGTTTGTCACAAACGTCACATTTAAAGTCCTTGACGCCACTATGTTTAATTTCATGCCGCTTGAGATAAGCCTTGTCTTTGAAAGTTGCTTTACACACTTCACACTTGTGAGGTCGCTCTTCAGAGTGAAGTTTCTTGTGCTTCTTTAGGAAGCTTGTTGTAACACAAATCTGCTCACACTGGTCGCACTGGTAGAGTTTCCGACAGTCTGTACAGACAGAAAGCTGCAGTGTCACAAGAAATTGGATAAAGGGAAAATTTAAACGTTCAGAAAAGGATGGCCAACATGGAAATGTCATGAAACGCAGTTTTGCTGTAGGTTCTCCAATACTTCCTGAAATTCACTACAAGAATATCACATGTTCTTTTAAAAAAAAATTGCTGTAACTGGTTTCATTAGTAATTTGAGCAATTTTTAATTGAGTATCGGAAGTAATCCGGAATCGCTTTGGTTTTGCTTCATTTTGTTATGTGATTGGTTCAGGAAACTCGTGTCACTTTCTGAACCAATCAGATTCAAATTTGGTCATTCGCGTTTTCCCGCGCTTCAGGTGTTCTCATTGGCTCCTCGTGATATTATCCTTGCTATGATTGGCTCTTGGGATTGGTTTAGTTTTGGTTTTGACACTTAATCGAGACGCGTTTTATCACCGATCCCAACAACAATCGTGTTACTCTAGTTCCATCTGTGTTACTGAAAAGGATCAGTCTTGACTGTAGTTCTTACGTAGCTTACATACCTGGCTTTGCATTTAAGTGCGCTCTTAACTCACACCATCGGTGAAACCTCATTCCACAAACCTGACAACCACAGCGGAATTTTGGCAAGTCTTCCTTGCTGTCTACAAATAAAAATAAAGAACAAATAAAGCTTCACGGATAAAATAAATATTTGGAAAGAAACAGAAATCGTCACCAGACTCGTGTATACTTTAGATCAAAGTCAACTGAGCACCTACCCCTCCCCTAGGCCAAAAAAAGTCAGCTGACAACAAGAAAGGGTTAATGTTGAGTTAGGGGAAGGGGTAAGTTTCAGTTGCTCAGACACTGACATTGATCCCATACTTCTGCCAATACGCCATCAAACAGGACACAAAATAGACAATCTCAGTACTATGGTGAAAGTTGTCATTCGTTGGAAAAGCATGTGTTTTGCAAGAACAGTGACAGTAAAGTTCAAAAGCAAGAGGTTCGCAAACCTTGTTTTGAAACCTCAGCACTGTGAGTTGTAAGGCTATCAATGTCACTGATGCTGGGATCTGTGTTCACCACACTGTTAACATCTATGCAAAGCTCATCTTCTGATTCTTCAGAGCATTTCTGAATAAAGTAAATAAAGTAAACACAAATTAGCCCTTCAATTCCCAAGATCTGTTTGTTAATTCCCCCCCTCGGCTGTCAAACATCTCCTCATTAAACAGTTACAAGATTATTGGTGTTGAATCAAGATAACAACTTCTTCCCGATAAGTTTGAGTATTTTCATAACGTGTTTGCAAGATAATGTATACATATTTTAGAGAGAAGTTAAGTAACACATTACCCAATCATCACTTCTGAGATTTACAGGCCAGGTTAATTTTATGTGTAAAGGAGTTTCTACATAAAAATCATAGAAAACCAGCAAGTAATACATGTAAGTGGATAATGTTTATGTTTGTTTAATCTCCAATTTTCTTTTCAAAGGCTAATTTAAGTGGCACAAGTTACATTCACCCCTTTTGAAACTTTTATTACTAACAAAAACACATAACATTTTCATTTTGCCACCTTTCCAGTGGTCACAAAATGAAGTCTTGTTTTTTAAAGAACTCTTTATCACTGCGAATCCTTCAAGAAGAACCCTCCCCTCAAATGCTTCATCATCATAAAAGGAGAAACCAGTTTCTTCTCTCCTTATTAACAGTAACTTATCTAGCTAGAAATTTAGACAAAATATAAATACTGCTCTCAAATCTCAACAGTACCCTTGCCTTAGATTTTTGAAGTGCATTTGAATTTGGTCAAATAAACACCCCTTGTATTATTGCTATAATTGTTGCATTGTTGCTATCATTAAGCCTTTTTGTGTTGTATGATTCAATTTAAACATCTCTTGTGTTACTTTACTGATCCTAGGTAGTAATAGAAACTGCTCTCTTTAAATGAATTTTTTTCCTTGACAGGAACTTGCCTTCAAGTCTCACACTGAGCAGTCTCTGAAATAAAATTTTCTCACCTTTTTGTTTGGACATTTTTTTGATTTGACAACTTGCTTATTCTTCCGTTTAGGTGCTGTTTTCATGTTGGGTGTGAAGTCTTCATCACTATCATTGTCCAAAGGTTCTCCAGAATCTGAAGAGAACAACCCTTCATCTTCTTCACTGTGATCTACGACTGCACATTCTGATGGGGAAGAACCAAACCTCAGTGAGCTTTTACTACATAATATAACTATCCCTTTACCATCTAACTCCTCAGTACTAAATTAAATGAGGTCTTGGGAGTGAAAGGGTGTCAAGTATCAGAGCATAACATTTTTTAAAACTTCAGACAAGGCTATGTAAGACTCTTGTAAAGTCCCAAGTTTGTTCTTTAAGCATCAGAAAAAAGGGCCAGCAAATAGAAGGAGTTGCCTTGAGGTACAAGCATTTAAAGTTTGCTAGCCTAATTAATTCCCAAAACCCAGCTGCTACTTACACTGATCAACTTACAACAACAGTTAACAAAAATTATTAATGGTAACTCTTAGTGGCCAGTTCCATAACTATGAAATGTCAATTTATCAAAACAACAATCGACCATGAAATATTTTATATCATAAATTAATTTTTTTTCCAACCACAATTATTAGGAGTAAATGATGACAAACCTTACCAGAATTATGACATTCTTTGATGTGCTGAGTGATCTCTTGTTTATTCTTACACAACACAGAGCAGAAAGGACACAAAGATGTTTCAGGAACTTGATCTATATCATCTACTACTGGGCAGTGGTACACAAATGACTCTATGTCAATAGCCAAGTCTTTCTCGCTGCTGCCACCATTGAGAGCTTTTGATAAATTTACTTCTGAATCTATATTCCTTTTTTTCTTATTCTTCTTTTCCTTGTTATCCAAATATCTTGTCTCAGGCATTTGACATTTCTTAATTAGCTGTTGTTTTCTCCATGTAGTTCTTTTCGCTGCTCTTGGATGAGAAGCCACTCTGCCTGATGTTAAGCTTTCAGCTGATTTCAGTCCTAATTCCTGAACAAGGTTGCTGTCATTGTCACTAACCCTACCAGTAACATTAACATCTTCATCTGAAGATACATCTTCCAAATCTGATCTGTACAACTCTTCTTTGTAAACTCTTTTAACTCCATTTCTCTTTCTTTGTTTTCTATTCAGGTAAAGAAATAACACATCACTCCTTTTTTCAAGTACCCAAGTAGGCCAGAATCTTCCAATCCTTTAATCTGATAAGCTTATTGTGTACTTGTAACAAGTTTTGGCTTTTCACAATATAGACCATGGTCCAGAATATTTTTTGTGCCATTCCCAGCAAAGTGGAAAAGAGCAAACCAGCTGAGGAAAATTACTAAACTTAAAATTATCTAGCAGTCTGGGTCAGTTCCAATGGGAAGTAACTGTACAGTTGACCTCAAGTACACCTACTGCGTAAGCTCCTTTAAACTCTCATATTTAATTCTTTCATTACATGTACCTCTTTCTATTGGAAGCTTTGGGTAGATGGCAATACAATAACAGGGAAACCAACAAATGGCAGTCGGTTATAAATAGTGGATTAAAATATGTGACCCTCCACGGGAAAACGGACACTAACGCTTTTCCGTTTAAGCTGCAAAACCGTTTACTATCCGTTTATATCCGTTTAAACGGTTCATGAAAGCGTTTAAATGGTTTGCTTATCCGTTTAAAAAAATTTGCATCCGTTTAATGCTTTAGCTAAAACGTTTAAGCGGTTTGCTCATCCGTTTAAAAAAATTTGCATCCGTTTAACGCTTTTGCCAAAACGTTTAAGCGGTTTGCTCATCCGTTTAAAAAAATTTGCATCCGTTTAAAAAAATTTGCATCCGTTCGACGCTCTAGCAAAAACATTTAAACGGTTTGCTTACCCGTTTAAAAAAAAAAAGCTATCCGTTTAAAGTTCCACGGAAAGCTTTGGACTGTTTGCCTATCATTCTGTAATAGGCAGTTCGAAGTATCAATCTTACGTTCGCTCGATACTCGCCGGTTCTTGAAATACAGAAAGACTGTATCTTATTTTGGTTTTATCTATTGCGTGATCATAGTAAGCGAGTTCCGTCGCATCCTTTGACAAACAAGTTAAATCGGCTACTCTCTTTTTGTTTATATCATCTTGATTCATCATTCTTGGTTTTATTGACAATCATTTTAACGGCCCCGCTTGGTGCGTGACACCGATTCGACCTTTTATTTGCAATGGAACTTCATTGCGTTATTTGACCTTGAAAGGTCTCGGCTTCAGACAAGGTGGCGGCATTGCATATGCAAATTTGTTTCGCGAAACTTCCGAACAGGAAGAAATGAAGTTCATTTTCAATACTAATAAGAATAAACAAAGGAGAAGATTATGAGTTTCTCGCGGTAGCCGTTCAGGATATTCGGCAGCGAAACTATTCTCAGTAAATTGCGCTTATTTCATGAATGTCACACGAAAGCGGCTGTAATTAACCCAGAAATAAAATGCGCAAGTATATGCTAGTTATTACTTTTCAAATTATCATGCTAAATATTTTCGCTTTAAAGGATAATTATCCGTTGTCACTCTGAAAGTTTTTCCGCAGAAGATCTCGCCGGCTCAACCACAGCCGTTAAACATTAATTTTAAGCTCATCGTTTGTCGATTTTGGTCAACCGTTTCTCGGTTTAAGCCATCCGTTTTTGGACTTTGGTCAACTGTTTAACGTTTCGGGCTGACCGTTTTTATTTTTGGTCAACCGTTTAAAAGTGTGAGCCATCCGTTTTTGAACTTTGGTCAACCGTTTAACGTTTCGTGCTATCCGTTTTTATTTTTGGTCAACCGTTTGAAGGCCTAAGCTATCCGTTTTTGGACTTTGGTCAACCGTTTAAATTTTTTGCCATCCGTTTAAGCGGTTATGGCATCCGTTTAAACGCTCGAGTTAACCGTTTACTATCCGTTTACAACCGTTTTTCGAGACCGTTTAACGGAAAAGCGTTAGTGTCCGTTTTCCCGTGGAGGGTCACATATTGTACACCAACCAAGAGGCATATTTACACACCTACATGAGCATGTGTAGCTCCTTTAAACTTCATAACTTCCTCTGGCTCAGCTTGAATAACCTATGCCAGTGTTACTCAATAAGCTCAAGATAGTCTGATATTAACTATGAGCAAAATGGATAGTGCTTTTTAATGCTCTTTACCTTTTTATACTTAAAACTTTTGAATTCAAGTGGACATCATCATTTTCTTCATCCTAAAAATTGGCAAGAGATCAATGAATAAATTATTAATTGACAGAGTAGTTTATTGTTTGAGGAAGTGGAAGTTTTTCGTTGACCATTTTAAACCCAGACAAGCAAAGAAACAAACCCCCAACCATAAAGACAAGGCTGGTAAGGTCACATGTCACAAGGCCAAATCAGTTCAACACAAACAAGCCTCTTCTCAAGATGAGAGCAAACTTTTTATGGAAACAGAAATGCATAATGTTTTAATCCACCAACAAAAATTTCCCTTTTTTTTATCAAGCATCTTTCTTTCTAGTTTTCACAACCAAAGTGACATGTAAGATACTTTTGCCTGCAAACTATTTTGTCTTAAGATTAAATGAAAACAGTTAAGAATGTGAAAGTCAGCAGATAGCCAAGACAGATAGAAATTGGGGAAGACAATGGAAACTGAAAGGAACACAATTTTCCACAACATTTTCATCCATGTAAAGAAACCATTTCAATTTGTATCACCCATAAAGTAAACCTTGGTATGGGTAATGATTGTTGTATATACAAATGATTTATTAGGAAATGCAGTTCATCTGAAAATATATATCTTCCCAAGAAGATTCCATAAGTTTGGTTTAAAAGCAACAAGTCAGATCACCATTTAAGATCTTTAAAATATTGAAAAATAATAATTCTTCTAAAAAAAAGACTAATAACCCAAGCTTATGCTTAAAAATACTACCCATTTAAAGAAAAACTGTTTAGACATGGACCCCAGCTCGAAGAGTAACAGTTTAGTTCTCAAGATCCCCTCAAAATGTCACTTTGGAAATTTCAGTTTCAACACTTCCTAGACTCTGTACACAAATTTCAGTTTCATTTTCCCTAAGGTTAAACGAAGTTTATGAACTTAATACAAGAGAAGATAGATAATTGGAAATTTTAAGCCAGTATCTAGCAAAAAGAGCAAACCTAAACCACAGCACAAAAGTCCTTGGTATTATTACTGAATAATTTTGGAGGCGTTCCCACGAGCTCAAGCTAAAATCGTCTCGCAATATGAAATTTGGTTCTAGGTAAATGTAACATTCCATGTTGATTACACTGCTCGGGAAGACGATTTCTACTTAAAACAAAGACTCCCGAATTTAAGACATTTCTCTGCTTCATCCACAGTTGTTCTGCTTGCGTAGGGTGATAGAATAAGCTGGCCTTAAGTTTAGTAACAATATAAATGGCAAAAAGTATGGTACTACTGTACTTACGCGCGCAGGACTCTTTCTTTCGCACTGTTCAGAAAGCTTTTCAATTATTGAGTGAAGTTTTAATCTGCAAAACCATCAAATGCCTCGTTACTCCACATTAAGGCTCACAATGTTTTGTAAACTGATACAAGACAAGCTCACCACTTACCCACGTTTTTTTCCAGTCGCCATGTTGTTGTAGTCTGACAAGATTTATGCTCAAGTACGCCTCATGAAGTGTCTCGGTCAAACCGCGTGGCTCTGGTCACCATATTATTTTTAAACATGGCGTGATGAAACAGTGAAGTGGAAACATTCAAACATATACAAGACCATGGAGAATCACAAAGCTAAACTTCTTCATATATTAGAGGATGTACTGGTAAAAATCTTTATCACGTCTAAGTGAATTTTACCCCTTTCGCGATACACAGTTAGATCTGTATTCATCCAAGATAGCTCAGACGCTACTTGATTACTTCCGCACGAACGAGAGCGGTCAAATTTCCGCACAGTCCCATACTATTGTGAAACAGATCTGCTTTCCCAAAGGCAATCAATTGTTTTTGTCATCGTTTTCTCTATCCAATAACTGAATGCATGATGTAGTATGGGGCTGTGCGGAAATTTTACTTTTATATTTTAGAAAGTGAAAATATTTTTTTTAATGGAAATTCTTGATCTAAATTTCAAATTGGGGCTAAAACAGTGAAGAAATCAAAAATGAAGGAATCAAAAACCGAAACGTAGTACAGTTTGCTGGCCGAACTTTAGTAACGTTAAAGTGTTCAAAGGATGTGAAATCTAGAGCATACACTTTCACTTTAGGGTACTTCTCAAACAAAAACAGCTGTGAACTACAGTTGTGTGTGTTTATGTAGATCCAATTTGCACAGCTGAATGTCAATAACCCTTTAATTCTCAAGATCTGATTGACAATTCTCCCTACACATTTTTTGGTGAATTAGTTATGAGAATTTGGTGTTATATCAGGATGACTTCAACCTGATAAGTTTGGATGAGTGGTTTGGGCACAGGACTTGTAATCTGGTGGTCCTAGGTTCAAGTCCTTCTCCCTACCACCCACTGAATTTGTTCTTGGTTGCCCTGAGTTCAACTTCTTGGCTGTGCTGTGTAAATAGTCAACTAGTCTGCCTCCTACCAGTTGGAATTTTCAAGCACTTTATGTTTATTTGGAATTTTTGTTTCTCTCTTTGCACATTTGAACATAAGTCAATGAATGTATGTGTGTTAGGTAACCAGTTATTTTGCCAATGGTAGTTTTGCAAATGTCTCTGGTCAGTTTGCAAACATGTAGAAGTCAGTTCACAAATGTTATAAACATTTACATGTCAACCTGGGTTTAATTATACGATTCAGAATACTACATCACTGACACATTGTGTGTGTAAATTATTGGATGTGAAATCTCACAGCTTATTTCATGCTAAAGTATATTTCATAATCAAATGGACAGTTTTTATCCCGTGTCTCAGTAGTTGTGGACCTTCCTTTAAAGAGCAAAGCTTCCTGCTAGAACACAACAACAGCAAGACCTGTTTCATATTGGTAGATTGATTTGAAGATTACAGCTACTGTACATGCAACATGCTAATGCTGTGATAGAATGAAATCAACTACAAGACTGTACGACTTAAGCTAGAAAGTTAGTTTGTTTGCTCTTGAAAATGATGACATCTCAAATCTACAAAGTGTGTGAACTGACTTCTTCGCATATATTAAATGTTTATAACATTTGCAAACTGACTTCTAAACATTTGTGAACTGACTAGAGGTGTTTGCAAAACAACCAATGGTGAAACAACTTGTTTGCGAAATGACTGACATTCGTGTGTTATAAGTATTAAACTTATTATTATTTGTTGGTTCTCCATTACCTTAAGCTCTTGAATTCTGCAATCAGATACTCTGAAAGCAAGACTCAAAAAATATTCTTCAGCATTTAATGGTTGTTTTATAATTATAAAGATCATAATAATAATGTGATTCTAAAATTTTTAGTGCTAGTCATTGTAGTTATTTTTGTTTAATTGTCATTTACATCTTTAGGGAATTGAGGCAATGGAAACTGCATTTTGTGGGTATGAATTATTTTATTGTAGTATAGCCACGAATGTAAATATTTATAATACGTTATTCTCAGCTCTACTGACTTCTTGCATGTAGAGAATTGCTTTGAATTAATTTCATTTTTTTTTCCCAAAGAATGCTTGTCCACAATGAAGAGGATGAAGATCTAGATATCAGAGAGACTTTCCAAGGTGTTTTTAAACCTTTCTGGGCTGGTGTTCCTGTGGTAAATGATTTACTCTTACATATCAAACTACTGAGTGACAATTTCTTCATTATAGTGAAAAATGTCGCGTCTGTTCTCAAGCCTACTGCTTCTCCCTCCCTCAGCTGGAGCTTATCCCAATTTCCTTGTTTTATGAAGTGACTAGTAATATTACTACTCCCCCTTGGGGATGGGGTGCTAGTTTATTACAAGGTTACCCCCCCCCTTCCCTAGCATTTAATCAGGCTTTGCAGAAAATTTGCCAGCACACATTTAGACTCCTGGGAGAGAGAGGCACTGTGAGAGGAAAGTGTTTTGCCTAAGAACATAGCACAATGACCTGGCCAGTTCTCATACTTGGACTTCTCGACGTGGAGTCCATTACACTGACCATTAGACCCTATGTCTCACTACTGTTGTAAAGTATTAACATTTGAAATGTTAAATATTAAATGTGTGCAAAAGTAGAGCCCACATTTCTTGGCATGACCTTATGACTCAGCCTCGTAATTTTGATTAAGTTATTTCAGGTTACTTGACATTTACACTTTTTTTGCTTCTTTTTCCAACTCTGTTTTTTTTTTTATTCTAGGATGCAAGGGAACAACTTCTCCTTGACTTTGTTTCATTCATCTACAATGAAAACAACCCAAGAAGAATTGACCTTGCTTTTGGTTTACTGGGAAGTTTAGTGGAAGGTTCACTAGTTCCTGCCAGGTATCCAAACCAAAATCATTCTTTTCACATTCTAATGAGTAAGAAGCAGTTTCTCAACTGTTTAATTTTTGTGTTGTGCAACATAGCCAGTTAGAAATGGTTTGGTTGTTGTAGATGTGTTGATCTTTATATAGTGCTCTGCCCCAACTCTTTAACCTTTTAACTCCCATGGATGACCAAGACAGAATTTCTCCTTACAATATCAATTAATACAATGTCATAGCAGACAAGTGATGAGAATAAAGAAAGATATCATTAGTTGATCCAATACCAAATTCCCCAAACTAACATCATAAGAATTGTGTCGCAGACAGTAAGGAGAATTACTAACAAGATCTTGGGAGTGAAAGGGTTAGCTATACAGATCTGATTTATAACTAACCCCTCTAGACTCTTCACATTTCCTTGAAAGCCTGTTTTATTGACTGTACCAAATTAATGCATTTGATTGAATCTCCCATTAAATGTTTTACCAGCTATTGCATTTCCTCTCCCAGACATAATTCAGGGGTTTATGTGATTATTTACTGCAAGTCTATGTTCCCTAATAGTAGGTTCAAGCAATCTTTGTAAACACAAGCTGATAATAACAGATTTCTAAGTAAATGTGATCTCTTTATCAAAGTAATTAGGCTCAGTGCACAACAATCCACATGGAAATGGATTTGGTTTGCTGGTGAAGTTAGTTTATTTGGGTTTATTTAGTATTGTCAACTGAGTTGATAGCATAAATTGGCCACCGTGAAGAGTTTAAAAGCTGACACTTCGAGCATTAGCCCTTTGTTATTTGCTCTGATGAAGCACAAACACTTGAAATGTCAGCTTTTGTTATGTTAGCTAATTTATGTTATCAACTCAGTTGGCAAAACTAAATTACCCTGTTATACTCTCCCACAGATGCAGCACCACAGTTTCTTTAAAAACTTACCCCCTTTATAAGTTGGTTTATTTTCCTAGGAAAAAATGAACTACAAGACCTGATCTCTGGTAGTGAGGGTAAAGGTAATTTGGAGATGGGCTCTTGCAATTTGGTGAGCTGGGTGTTGGTATTTGCACTGGGGGCATTGAATTTTTTTTCTTTTATTTATACTTATCACTATTGATCTGTAGATCAATGTGTGAAGCTATCCTCAAGACACCTCACCTCAGTTTTCAGAAAGAACTCATGTGGTGTAAAACATTCCAGCTTCTTTTGAAAATTGTAGGAGGGGTCGATTATAAGGTGAGTATAACTTGCTCACTAAGCTGGATTTGATTTTTCAAGAATCACTCAATCATTCATATAAGTTAATTTTAGATCAATTTTAAATCATTCTTAAATAAAAACATGTGAATGGCACTATTTCTGTCATTTGTTGCATGTTCATACCTTTATATTCTTTATGAATTTTTTTCATCAGTATCATAACTATTGCGCATGATTATAAGATTGCTTTGACTTCCTTTTATTCTGTGGGCCATGAGTTTATCAAATATTTTATCAAATCTGCCATTTTCATCACTGCATACATTTCTGGACATAAGTGGGTAATTACTATCCAGAGTTACCCTCACTGAGTTAAGTCTAAGACTAATACTAAGTGGTTTACTTTGGTTTTCATGTTAAAGAGCTGTCGTGACATTCTAAGTTTGGTGTTTCACCTATTCCGTACCATTCCAAACACTGCTGATCCTGCATTTACAGACCGAATACAAGCTTGTGTTAAGGTATGTTCCTGTATAAAATAAAGGCTCTATGACCTCAAAGTAAACATCAAAGTAAGGTAAGGCGAAGGTAATTAATGAAACTACTTGTTTATAACTTGTTCCACCCAATAAATGATAAATATTTTATTAAGTAGCTTTAAAAGCACTTTCTAGAGGTGAGTGATGCACTCAACTTTTCTTGTTTAAAATTTGCAGGTTGTCCGTTATATTTTAGATAGGAATACTTGTCTTCTGCCTGCCTATTTTGTCATTAATGAGGTAAGATACATCTTTCCACGTAAGTAACAAGTTTAACTTCTGAAGTTAGTCTATGGAAATTGGTCAGTTTGGCTATTTTTCAGACATCCAAGAATCCTTGTAGGGATATTTTTGGAGGTCACTTTCAGAAAACTTGGTTGTAGTTTTCAGAAAACTTCAGATCAGAATGACTTCAAAGTAGTGGGATTTGTATATTTTTCTGTGCAAAATAGCTTTTC